TCCTTCTTTCCTCGTCTTTTGTCCTAAGAATAGAGTGTTAATTGTTCTGAGTTCTACCTGAAGCACGTCTGTCACAACTAGTACCTAGGTATTAACCGTATTATATAAACCACCCAAGACTCCATTCCGTTCCGTCTCCGTTCCGTTTTCGTATAGAGTATTAGAGCTATAGTACTGTAACGAATACTCAAACTGGCTAACTAAACTTGGCTGGGTGTTCGCTGGTTGGTATGCTATGATAAGAAGATTAACTAAGTTGAGCACGAAGCTCCTATCTAATGGCAGACGTGCCAGTCTTATATAGAACCTTCGTTCTCCACGGGAGTGTGGTTGGATCGTCAGATCCACGCTCCTGGATCATGGATCATTTAGATCCAAATGATCCACGTCATGTGACTTGATAACCAAAGGAAATCCTTGGATCGTCTAGCTAGCCTAGTCGATCCCTATTTGCTATAAGAGCTATGATAGTGCTCAATTTGTCAGGGCGCCGCCTGGTCTTCACTTATCACGTGCGCGCACATGATTCGTGACAAGTACCTACCTACCTAGCCTAGTACGGCATCCTGAATGTACTAAAAGGCCGAATAGACTTAATACTAATTCGCAAATCGCAAATCGTAAAAGTCATATATTTACTACTACTGTGCCAGAGTGCCTATACCCCCACACCCCACGTACCTTAAAATAGGGGCCTGATTATATAAACTCGTACCCTCACTATCGCACCCTCATTGTCGTATCTTTATAATCGTATCCTCGCTGTCGCTACGTCCTTACTATTGTATCCTCGCCGTCGCTGTTACTGTCGCTATTACTATCGCTATTACTATTACTGTCGCTATCGCTGTCGGAAAGAAGAGAAAGTTAGAGGGGGAGAGAGGGTAGACAAGTAGTAAACAATTGTTAGCGTGACATATATTAGCCTAACCTTTTTAGGAAGGTAGTAATCGGGGACTAGGAATAAGCGATATATACAATTAAAATATTTCCCTGCTTCTGTCCCTCCCTCTCTCTCTCTCTTACTCTCTCTCCTAAATAACATACTAGGGCAAAACCCTATCCGATAGCGAGGATAGGCGACAGTAAGGGTGCGCTAGTGAGGGTGCGATAGCAAGGAGGGTGCGACAGTAAGGGAACAGGTAGTTAGGATGTCTACGTAAAAATGCCTAGGCACGTAGAGTCTAAGGTGGGGGTATAGGTACTCTGGCATAGTAGTAGTAAATATATAACTTTTGCGATTTGCGATTTGCGAATTAGTATTTACTCTATCTGACCTTTTAGTACATTCAGGATGCCGTACCTAGCCTAGCTTATCTAGTAAACCCAAGTATCTATTTCCTTCCATCCTATTATCCTATCATCTAAAGTCGTACGTAATATTAGGTAAAATCTACCTATAGTAGTTTTAAAAAAAAAAGAAAAAAAGAACAAAAAAAAAGAAATATAGATATAGTTAAATACCTATAGTAATATTAATAGTAATAGTATTCCTATTCTTTCTTTATTTCCGAGTAAGTAGTTATACTAGTAGTTGATCTATAAGATAAGGTTTTAATTTATATATAGTAGTAGTAGGTATTTCGGAAACGGGAAATTAGATTGGTATATAGTATAGTACTAATATATAAGTATAATTATAATAGTGTCTGTCCTCTCTAGTACGAGATTTTACAAATTCTTAATAAGTACTCGCAGATCAGAAGATAGTAATAGAAGAAAAGCACCAAATGAAAACGTACCATAAAAATGATTCACACAGGACTTCAACACTTCCTATAAAAACATACTCGGTGCGAAAAAATGACGACTCTAGTATTTCTACATCTACTATCTACTTTCTCCCGCACTCACCCCCCCAAAAAAGATCCGGTCAATTCATACACCTCATTCAATTCACATTCGCCATCTGCTGCGACATCATATCCGCAAACGTACTCGGGAAATTATCCCGATCTCTCTTGGCCTGTCCAATCGTCGTCAAGACATTTTTGATTCCAATCCCAATCTGGTCCGTTCCAGTGATGTCCCTCAATTCATTCAAACTAGCGGCGAGATCCGATGGGTTCTCGAAGCCGCCGAATTCTTGGAGGGCCGCGGCAAGTTCTTGATGCGTGTTGATGTTGGGAATGGCAAGTTCACGGTTGAAGATCTGTTTGAGGTCTAATTGTGCCATGACCGAACGCTGGGATGTCGTTCCGATGACGAGGAGACGTCGACCCTGGAAAGAGAATTAATTGGGGAAAGTCAAGGAGAAATTAGGACAACTTACGGCAGGAGGTTCCTTGGCAATGAGAACCATCAACGCCTGTGTGACAGGATTCGAGAATCTCAGTCCAACATTCGTCCACTCAATGATACGCTCAATATTATCAATGACAACAATATTCAGAGGCGACTTGTAAGCATCCATAAACACCTTTTGTAGGTACTGGATCTTGGCCATCTCGCTAAACCCAATCATATTCTCGGCAGAAACGAGCTTGATAAATGGGAATCCAGAATCCTTGGCCATTTTGGCTGCAATAGCAGTCTTTCCAGATCCGGGAGGACCGTGTAATAACATCGAAAGTAACGATGCATCGGGGGCATTCTTGATGTAGTCAACAGCGAGAGCTCCCTGGTTGAGGATGTTCTCAATGTAGGGGCTGAAATGCAATATGCCGTGCTTCATAGCAGTCTCGAGTTCCTCTTCAGAAACACCAAATGCTGCTTTGACTTCGTCGAGCGCGTTCATAAAATCTGCTCGGTTAACTTTCATGTTTTCAATATCATCGCTAACACCGGCCACAGTTCCTACCTTGACATGACGGTTAAAAGCAAATGACGAGGCAGATTTAACGAGGCCTCCAATCTCAGCACCCGAGAAATTCTTGGTGAGATGGGCGAGTTCTCCAACATTGACATCGGGATCCATAACGTCATTAGCCAACATCTTGGAGGTATGAATCTTCAAAATTTGGGCTCGGCCAGCTTCATCAGGAAGCGAGATCTCCATGTGAACTTCCAAACGTCCAGGACGCAATAAAGCATCATCAATCATATCTTTACGATTGGTCATTCCAATAAGCAAGATATTGTTGAGCTGATCAACACCATCGAGTTTGGAAAGCAGTTGATTGACAACACTGTCACCAACACCAGTTCCACCACCAGCTCCACTTCCTCTTTGTTTGCAAACAGCATCTAATTCATCGAAAATGATGATATGAAGACCACTTTCGTCTCCCTTTTCCTTGTACTCTTTCTCGGCATCTGCGAACAGTTTACGAATGTTCTCTTCTGATTGTCCAACGTATTTATTCAAGACTTCTGGACCGTTGATAACCTTTGGTTCTCTTGAGTTCAACATCTTTCCAATTTGACGAGCAATCAAAGTTTTTCCAGTACCTGGAGGTCCAAAAAGTAAAATACCCTTCACGTGCTGAATACCCAACTTCTCAATCAATCCAGGAGGGAAAATACGGGAAGCGAATGCTCTTCGGAAAATGGCACCAAATTCAGTATCCAATCCACCAATTCCCATATCCTCAAACTTGAAATCAGGAGCAATGATGGAATTGGCGGCCGGCCGCTTAGCAGATCCCTTCAGCTTGATATCCGATTTTGCATCTTTGTAGAATGTGATGGGTGTATGTTGAGTGAGAATACCCCTCGCATCAGGCTTTGTCATTGTTGGAGCCGATGTTGACTGTTTCTCTAAACTGAGATCAACCAACTGCACCGTTTTGACCGTGAAAATCAACGGAATGTTCTTGAAATCCATCAAGAGTTTCTGTCCTGGGGAGAAAATCTGGTTTTGGTAGAGCCTAATAAAGTTGTCTGCCAAAACGTCCTGGTCATATGGAACATCGGTAAACTTCTTTACAGAGGCAAATCCAACATCCACATCCAAAGATCCGAGGTATGCATGTCCACCTTGCGAGAAGGGGTCGTATATTTCAGCCGTTATGGCATCCATCATTCCCACATCGCACCATGTCCTTTGGGGATCCGATAGACTTATGCATCCTGGAGGAAAAGAGCTTACTGGCCTTGCGGTAACTACATACCTGCCGTTCAACAGGATATACAAATCGGAGCCATCTCTCGAAGGAGGAAATTCTTGTGGGGAAACGGCACACCTATGGCGGGGTCAGTAACTCCCAAGTGCTACTACACCCTACTCGAACTCACAAGTTTCCAAAGATAAACTGGTTTGCCAAAGTCTTGTCTTCAACTTTGGCAATTCTTAATTGCACTCGCCTGGCTGGACTCATTTGTGGTTGTTGTTGCGGTGGAGGTCTTCCGACTGCTGGACGTTGTGGCATCTGTTGCCTGCCCGGTGATGGCATAGGCGCACCACCGCCACCACCGTAGCCTCTGTTTTGCATTCTGGGATCCTCTTGGTAACCTGCCATGGGAGTATCGTCTCGTGGGGGAGGCGCTGGAGCCCGTCCGTAGCCAGCACTAGGAGCCCGTCCTGCCTTTGGACCTTGACCAAAGAGGTTCTGTCGAATATCCATGATTGCGGTGTTCGTGGCGTGGAAATATTTGTCTGATGTTTCAATGTGCAATGGAGCCTGAGCCTGAGCCTTTCTAGAAGCAAAGTTGCAAAGTGTCCTATGACCAGGTACTCGCCTGGTGGTCCACGTAATGTATTGAAGCTATGGTGTCCTCGAACCGATGACTCTTTGTATGCGGAGAACAGAACACCTTTCCCTTCCCATATAACCCGGCGTGAATCGTAACTTCGTGCAAGAATTCCTTTCTGGGTGAATATATTTTGTGGTGAGTTGCGATGCAGTTTATCAAGTGGCTCGTCCCAGCTCTCTGCTACTTGTCGGCTTTGACAACAGCCAGTGGCACGGACGAAGCTTCAGGGATCACTGGGGGGCAGCGTGGGTTGGTCTTTAGTTTTGGCTTGGCAGCATCCACCCCCACATCCACTTCCACAACAGCTCCATCTCCATCTCAGCCTTCTCCAACTTTCAGCCTCGACCTAAATTTCTTTCTACAAGTCGCAAACCACGAACTGAGGTGTCCAATCATGCCTCTGTAAGTTTTGGATTCAACATTAGTAGCTACTTGCTGACTCATTTAGACATCTCCTCGGCAAGAAATCATGGAACGTCTACAACACAGCCAACATCGAAAAGGTTCAGCGCGATGAAGCCATCGAGGCAGCTCGGATTGCGGCCGAAGAGCAGTCCATGCAAGAGCTGGATGCCACCAGACGTCTCCAGATTCTACGAGGGGAAGAACCTACGCCTTCATCAGCGATCGAAGAAATTTCCCATGGTGATCGGAAACGAGAGCACGATGGTGATTTCAGGGGAGGTAGAGAGCGCAAGAAGCGCAAGAAGGCTGGAGAGAATGACACGGATTTTGAAATGCGGCTAGCGCACGAACAGACAGCTTCGGCATCGAATAACAAGGAGAGAGGACTGGTACTTGCAAACAAGGTTGACGCGCCGATCGTTGATGAGACAGGTCATATATCTTTATTTCCTCAGGAAGCCCCAAAACAAAGTCAACAGATATCCAAATGCGCAGAGGCAGAAAGAGAGACGGCCAAGAAAAGAAAGGAATATGAAGATCAGTATACCGTCAAGTTTTCAGATGCCGCCGGTTTCAAACAAGGATTGGAAAATCCATGGTATTCTAAGCAGAACAATACAACCACTGAAGAAATGGATGCCATGCCCGGGAAGGATGTCTGGGGTAATGAAGATCCCCGAAGGAAGGAGAGGGAAGCAAAGAGAATGGTGTCCAATGACCCACTTGCCACGATGAGACAGGGCGCTAAACAGGTAAGAGAGGTCGAGAAGGAGAGAAAGAGATGGAGGGAAGAAAAGGAGAAGGAAATGAAAGCCCTTGAGTATGAAGCGAGGAGGAAGAGGCACAAGAGAAAGCGTGACCGTGACTGTGAAGACGATTTAGAGGATTTTAAACTTGATTCCGAGAGAAGTGACAAGCATTCTTCTAGGCGAAAAGAAGATGAAAGAGAGAAACGACATAGGCACTCCCATCGACGATACTCAGATCGCGAGGACGAGAGAAGACATAGACATAAAATTTGAAGACATTCCCACGATTAGCTAGCCATAGTCGTACAAATAATACATGTCATAAACTCGTGAGCTCATAAAACCAAGGCAGACATACCCACCACCTACAGATCAATCTTCACCCCAAACATCCCTTTCACAATCTTCCCCAGCTCCTCACATCCCTCCAATTCCCCCACATCCTCCAGCTTCCTCATAATCTCCTCATACAACCCCGCACTCAACCCCTCCCTCCCCTCACTATAAATGTCCAACCCCGCCGGCGTAAACAAACTCGCCTCAAACCACGTAACAATCCACCTCTCACCCCCCTCCCCCCCCCCCCCCAAAAT